ATGAGTTGGGAACATTTCTTGAAAGTTTCAGCCTCCCAGCTTTCCTGGTTCCCGAGCTAGCGATTTCCGCTCCAGGAATCCTCACGAGGCCATACGCGGGAAATGCGCGCACCTGGGGGCTGAACTTAAAATCTTTGAGTTCTATATGGACGGGGGACATAATTCCAAAATTTCAGCTTTCTAGCTTTTCTGGTCCCCAAGTTAGCGATTTCCCCGCCAAAACTTTGAGGCGCTCGTAAGCGAGGTCTAGACGTGCTTGAGGATTGGTACCGCGGTCCTGGGTGGCAGTTGGAGGGGGAACCCACTCGCAAAATTTTGGCACTGGAGCTTGCTTGGGTGCTGAGTTAAAATACCCGGAGAGACGCACACACACACGCGCACAGCGGGGTCGCCGCAATATGCGTTTTCGCATTTGCATGTATGCAAAAACGCATAATGACAATCATGGCGATAGTGAATAATAACAATAACAACAAAAGTAATAACAATAATAATAATAATAATAATAATAATAATAACAAGAAGCAGTTATATGCAGTTCATTGAAACAAAAGCAACAAAAATTTGTTCAGTTTTTTGATTGTGTCCATTTTGTAGAATCCATTCGAGTACTCAACCGAACAGTTGCGATTGCATGGGCGTCACATTGGTGCATATGATGTCCAGAGGCCACGTCTGCACACGGTTGATGGTGTTGGTTTGGATCGTTCTGGTGAGTCTATCAGTGAGTACTACAGTGGATACATCGGTCCATCCTTTCGTGAGTCCAAGTCGTTGTGTTATGTCCTTACTGTTATGTTATGTTGCCCGTTTTTGCTGTTTACACCATCAGCTGTGTTTTTTTTTTTTTTCATGTTTGCATGGGGTATGATTTTTTTGTGGTTTTCATGAGTTATTCAGGAAAAATGGGCATTGTACGCTTCCTTCGTGCTTCCTTCGCCACACTTCCCTCATTTTTTAAGAATATTTTCATATATAGTTATTTGATGTTAGATACAAAAGTAGCCTAAAACTGATTAGTTATTGCTCTTTCCTGGCAAACGCTACATGGTGAACACACAAATTTTAGTCCTCGGAAGCAATTTCTTCTAATAAGACAAAAGATCTGTTCCAAAAAAAGCGCTTTCGAGAACTCCTTGTTTCGCGCTTCGTGTTTATCCAATAGTATAAGTTCAAATTCAACCTTTAATACCGCAAACTAACAACCCTCAAAATTTATTTCCTGAAATTTATCACAATGCGCAAGTTCACGGAAGTTTTTATCGCCCCTACGGCATGAATAAAGTAAACGCGCAGCAGGGAGGGTATGTGCTTCCCACACATTCCACTATGTAGTCATTTCCTGGTGAATTTTTTATGGTTATACTCTAACAAATAGCGCAGACCTGCAAATTAATTGAGCAAATTAAAAGTTAGGTTTTAAAATTAAGCAAAAAACTTAGTGTAAATGTTACTGAACCTTGCTAGGTTTTCGTAGCCTGGCTGGCGACCCACCCTACCCATGCTTTACGACGGGTGGTGGAAAATGCGCACTGCCCATGCATATTATATGATGTACTGGTTTTCTCGTCTTTTTTCTTCGGATCTTCCGAGTTGCAGTTTTTGTCGAGTTTTGCCGCGTTGGCAATGGCTAAAATTTACAGTGCATTGAGAAGGCTTTTTGCGGCTTCACCAGAGAATGATCGCAGACTGTTGTACTGCAGCTCTTCTGATTTTCGCAGCATGCGGGGCATAAAAATTAAGTGATGCCTGATGTACACTTCGGTGGAAAATTAAGAAAGTGATAAGCATGCTAACGTAGCAGTTCGAAGTTGTCCCCCTCCCCCCTCCCCCCTCCACGCGAATTCGTTTGTTTCCCTGGATATTTTGCCACATAAATGGAGCGCTTTCTGCGTTTACTCAGTGGCGAGAACATACTCACAAATCGAGCCTTCACATCGCCTCCGAGGCATCGCCTTGTCCTGAGATTCATGAACGCAGTGATCAGCGATTCTGGACCGCGAACAGCTGGTTCCGTTTCTGTGGTAATACTCTGTGGAAATGCAGTGTCCGAGAGCAAAAAGCATTCACAGCTCAAAGAACGGACGGAAAACAGTTTAATTTATTTGTGGCTCAACCAATTTGCCCTAAAATTCTAGGGTTCAGCAGGCCTGGTGAGGCACTTTGCAGTTTACTGCCAGGCGAGGCCTGTCCTTCGATCTACTGCTAGTCAACCAAACATTGGCCTGCTTCGTGAAGCTGCAAATGTAATAGTCCGTTCAGGCTAGTGTGCCTTATTATCCATCCCTACAGTTTCTGTAGTGGCATTGGTTGGGACTTTTTCTTGG